ATCCAGTTGTCTCCTAACAATTTTCAAAGTATCGTCTTGAGTATTTGTAATTTGATTCTCGAATTTTGGATTTTACCATTTTGCACCATACTTTGCTTCTTTTTTCCAATTCTTCATCAAACATTGAGTTTTACCTGCGAGATGCAATATAACACAATTTAGGCCGTATTTTGTCAAAAGAACAATAAAATTCTATAGTTTCAAGCATCGAACAAGTGTAGAAAATACACTTATCACAACACCAGCTTTAGATGAACCCTATAAGTTTCGACACAAAAGAATTAACACAAAACGATCACTTAGCAGCAAAGAAAAGAATATATGCTCATAGGCTTAGTTCATTTTATACCGATGGTTAAAAAATTGATCAGAAACTGCACAATAGGTGGAGTACAATTTTAACAATAACTCTCTATAAGCTGTTCCATCTTCTACGATCCAGCCTGCTTAATTACATAGAGCTTTAAGAACCTCGTTGTTATCATATATAGAATATCCAACAAGCCAATGTATCTTTTTCCAGGACCCATTTGCACTAGCACTAGAACACCATGTTTTGAAAACCACCTAAATATGACCAAAAACATGACATTATGATTGAGATATTCTAAATCACAGGGTTATTCACTTAAATTATTGATAAGTAATTATCATCTAACTGAAAGGGCTGCAGCTACTACAAACAACATTCCAATGGTATACTTGCATTTCTTAATTACTATTGCAGCACTTTCTCCTACAGTAGTTCCACGTTCCACCAATTCATCGCAATGCATATAGGTAGATAAAATAATTTCTCAGAAAGGGGCTAAATTATTTAGACACAAAAGGTGATTGTCTAAACTTGCTTCAAAAGCAAGAATAACTGAATTTGTATCTAAGTAACTATAGAGCTAAAGAAGTTTATAGTTTTAGTTAATGCTTATCTGAAATGTTAAAACAAAATAGAATAGGATCGAGCAAGAAATTTTTGGACCAGACAAATAATTCTTTAGCTTATCCACCTTTGGAGATAAACAATTTCTTTTGTAGATGGTGCGTAAAAAAATATCAGGTAACAATAAAAACTAAATTTAAGAAGTAATCCG